GGAAAGATGGGCAAGAACATGCTGCAGTTCTGAGAAAGCAGATACTCTGAGTAAGCAGGGGAGGTGGTGAGTCTGGAGAGAAGATGAAAAGAAAGAAGCTGAGGCACAGTGAGAAGGGATCTGCTTTGATTTCTACGGTTCCTTCAGAATACTTCCCTGAGGCCCGGCCCTACTGTGATTCCTACTGTCAGACTTCTACAAGTTGCTGCATTATTATAAACAAACAGAGCAACCATACCTTTTTAAAGCATCAGCTTAGGAAAAAAAGGGAAGGAAAGGTTATATTAATATTTCATTTGGGAGTGGAAGAATATTATGATGAGCTTCTTGTGTTGAAAACAGTCTTTATATAAAAACAACATATGTAATAACTTAATCAATAAAGAAATTAAAAAATTGATCTTTGCAAATATAATTTCTGAAAGAAGAAGTAACTGCTGCTACAAATATCATATGAAAATGACATGACATTGTCTTAAGCTTATCAACAGTGGTGTAATCAAACCACCTTCTAGAATCTATGCTGTGTTTCTAGATAGCTGCCTTTTGATTTGCCCGCTGTTGGGACCAGAGGGATTGATGAAAATCTCCAGGATTCTTACTCACATGCCCACATTACTCTCTCAAATAAGAATTAATAAAGTAAATTTATGAATATTTATAGGTAAGAAATAACATTAGGCACATGTAATTCATATGTACTCTGAATATAGAATACAATCAGATAGCATCTTTATTTATGTCTCCCAGTATGTACTGAGTGGGGAATTTCCTACTCTGTTTAGGACAAAATTAAAACCAGGTAGTGGAAGGACTCTTAGCATTCTCAAGCAATAGAAAGTCCCATGGTCACTTCAAATTGGTTATTGCATCTATTCCTAAGTCATAATGAAAACTTAGACCTTGGTTTAAAATTAAGACTCACCCTTAGCCATGTGAGAAGCCATGTGCAGGTGGGAAGGTGTGGAAGGGGAGGTCTTTCTCTCTTTGCTCCTGGAAGCTTCTGATTCTTCTAGGGTTGGGATGGAAGCAGGAATACTGTCTGGTGAAGTGGTAAGATGGCTTTCAGCTTTCTGGGCCTGGTAAACATTTAGCAGATTACATTTCAAAGGGGCTTTTCTTGGGAGGTTGCATTCACAGCTGGTGATGTCTCAGCTGCAGTTCCAAGGATTCAGGCAAATGTGCTCTCCATTTAAGCCGCCACTTACTTCCTCAGCCCCTAGGAACCTAGCATTTTCCTTCTGCTCTCACTCTTCTAAGGCTTGGCTGCACCTAAGGCCTCCCAAAGCCAGCCCTTGCTCATGCCTGACCCAGATCTGATCCCTAAAGGAGAGCACGCGCGCGCGCACACACACACACACACACACATACACACACCCCACACATCCTTCCTCTGGACATACTCGCACCAACAGCAGCTCCCTTTCAATCTGTACCCAACATGGCTTGCTGGCTTATCTTTCACATGATTTCCCAGAAGGGAACTGGACTACTGTGTTCTTCCTACCCAGAGACATATATTAAACTATCTGTCCCTTTCTCTTGACATTAGGTGGCCCCAACCTTTTACTTTGGTAGGAACTAAGAACACACCTTTAAAAAGAAAATTCCACCAATAAAAAAATAAATATAAAAATATCCTTTCTCCAATCTCCAACAATCCTATATGATCTAGTACTTCCTATGGAATGTAACACCTATTGTTTTTTGGTGCCTCAGCCAACGCCGTAATTTTAAGACCCTTAAGTATAATGGGTTTTTGTTTACTTGTTAAAAATCCTAAGGTCAGAAATTTGTTGTTTGGATGAAGTCCTCACACTCCCTATATACCTCCATTATACTCAGGCAAGAAGTGCTCCAAAAGAACAAACTCCAGGCTCTCTGGCCAGCCCCACTTTCTGAATGGAACCCATGGATTCCCTGTCTCATACCTTAGCAGGTTTTGAAACTCTTGGAACTTTTCCAACTGATGGCCCAGAAGGACCGGCACCACATGAAATGGGTCACATAGCCTCATACTGCCTCCTCCTGTAGTAAGGAGGAGGAACACAGGGTGCCCAGACACACAGGAATCAGGAGCCAGAGGGATGAGGCCAGGAAGCAAGGGAAGGACCACTTCAGGGAAAAAGCCACACATTGAGGTCCTTGACAAGGTGGACCCTCATCAACCTTGTCAGTCTCATCTCATTCATCCTTTCCCCTTCGCTATAGCCACCCAAAACCACCTGCCATTTTCTAAATATGCCATGCCCTTCCACTGTTACCTTTTCCACCTGCTACTCATTCAGGATGGAATACCCTCCTCACTCTCAGCCCCTCTCCCATTGCTTCTATTCAACGAGCAAGACCTAGTTTAAGTCTCCGGTTTTCTGTGAGGCCTTCTGCCACTTTCCCATCTGGCTGCTGTACCACTTTTTACATGTCTCAGTTGCAGCTCTCATGTCATTACATTGTAGCGCTTTATTAACTTGCTCTCTACTCCCCAAGAGATAGTATCTTGAAGACAAGGACAGTACCTTATTTTTGTAATCCCACCACCTAAGATTGTGCTTCAGTGTTGTAGGGACTTCTATTGCTGTGTAAACACACCTTTATTATTTCATAGTTTCTGAAGGTCAGAAGTCTAGGCATGGCATGGTTAGATTCTGAGCTGAAATCAAGGTGTTAGCTGTGATTCTCATTTGGAGCTCAGGATCCTCTTCTAGACTCACTGGTTGTTGACAGAATTAATTTTCTTGCAGCTGTAGGACTGATGTCCCTATTTTTCTGCTAGCTGTTGGCCAAGAGCTGCTCTCAGCTCCTAGAGGCTGCCCACAGTTTCTTGCCATGTGGCCCCATTAGACAGTTCACAGGACTGATGTTTACTCCCTTCCAAGCTAGCTGGAACATGTTTCTTTGATTTCCTCATCTATAATCAGCCAGAGAGAATTCTGTGCTTTTAAAGGGCTCACCTGATTAGGTAAGGCCCAACCAGGATTATCTACTTTTGCCATACAGTGTAACATAATCACAGCAGTGATATTTCATCATATTCTTGAGTTCCACCCACACTTCAAGGGGAGGGAATACACTATGAGGGTTAATTGGGGTCAATTTCACCTATCACAGAGCTCAGTTAATATTTATAAAATCAAATAATATGTGTTCCAGAAATATATAAATTATAAACATTGCTACTCAATTGTAGTATTTTTTTCTCTTATCTTGGAAGGTTTTTAAAGTTACTTCTTAATGTGTGTTGGATCCAGAATGGTTGAGTTTGCTCTATTTGAAATAACATGATACCCATGCCATGAGCCATAATTTAGAGTGGGTGGCAAGACCTGGTCTGACAGCTGACTGTGTGTCCTCAAGCTAAGTCCCCGAAACTCTCTGAATGTCAGATTACTCCTCATATATGACATTTTTTTTTAAAAAAGTTTTTATTGATTTCAGAAAGAGGAAGGGAGAGGGAAATAGAGATAGAAACATCAATGATGGGATCATCAATTGGCTGCCTCCTGCATGCCCCCTTTTGGGGATTGAGCCCACAATCCAGCATGAGCCCTGACTGAGAATCCAACCATGATGTCCTGGTTCATAGGTCGATGTTTAACCACTGAGAAACACCAGCCTGGCCGTACTGGTCAAATTTAAATCTAGCTAAGGAACTCACAATATCCAAATTCATTAAAATAGTTAATAAAAGAATTTCATTATTGATAAAATTGCAATGATATGATTTTAAGAGGAAAAGGCAGTTTTGTTTTTAAATGAACCCACTCCTATACTGGCCAAACCTGACTAAATATAAATAAGAGTACACAACTACATTTTTAATACTTTACATAAAATGGCATCCTACATTTTGGTTTTAGATGACATATCTGTCATCTAAAAGTTATGGTCAGAAGTGAATTTTCCGTAAGATATTAAAAACTGTTTCATAATTAGCTTAATTAACTCAATTGACGGTAACTGAAAAACTAACAAAGGCAGTACTCAAATATTACAAATCAACTCACTGACTACATGCAAAGCATGTTGAGATCCTTATATACATTTTGGGAGTTTATATCTTTCTTTTGTTTTTCTTAAATGAAGCTTTCTTTGGCTCAGATAATTATTCTCTCCTACCCAGAAAAATGAGCTCTAATTTTAAACAGGTATTATTAAGTTCCACCGAAACAGGCTTATGCAGATGTATTTGTTAAAACATCCCTTTATTGACTGTGCACAGTTATTAACAATTCACATTTCACTTTATCTACTCAGAGGAAGAGCATTTATTCCTCCATTAAAAAGTTAAGCCCTCGGGGCAGCAGCAGGGATATAGAGCCTTCTTCCTATAAATGGCCCTGTCCAATGAATGTGAAATGTTTCCATATTAATACAAATAACAAAAGAGAAAAAGAAATAAAACAAATGGATTTCTCCCACCCTCCCTGCCAACACACTCCTCTTATTTCATAAAATGCCAAAGGTAAACAGTTTTCACATTGGTACTTCCATCATTCAGAAGAGAAATGTCAACATTTATTTGGTACCACTAAGTTCAGACCTTATTAGGGCTGTGTGACATTTGACAAAAGGAATACAAGGCCGTGGTCATTTCCTTGGGAAGATGCCTTCTGGACAGCGAGGATGGAAAATCACGAGGGCTTTCATCAGCCTCCAGTACCTTGCTGCTCAAGTTTCTGGAGCTGTTTTTCAAGTTTTGAGATGTTTACTCGATGCATCATCAGAAACTCGCCATTCAAATGAAAGACGGGGATGTCAAATTTATACCTCTCATACCAAACAGAGTTTTCTGGAAGTGTGATGTCCACCTCCTGTAAAATAAACTGAAACAGAGACAGACTAAAGCTCTATATTTTTGAGAACATGGAATGATGCAATAACTTTAGTGACAAACTGATCCTGAGACTGGTTCTAACGCTCAGAGGTTTTTGTTATTGTTGTTTGTTTGTTTTTGTGAGGTCCAAAGTAATCTAATGTCCCTGATTTCCTCCACTTGGTTGATTTCATTATATTCCATAAACTCCAGATTTTGCTACTTTTCTGTTCTATCTGTCACATTCAGCATCCAGGCACTACTCCATTCCCAATGAAATAAAATATGTCCTCACAGGGAAACTTCCTGAGAATCAGGTAAGACATGTTTTGGTTTTAAAAAATGTCATGCTTTACTACAGGTGAACCATGGAAATGACAAAATAAGAGAAAAGGAATAGGGACAAAAGTTTTGAGAAAGCATGAATACAGCACCTGATATTTAACTTTGACTCACTTAAGAGTAAGGAAACAGCCCTGACCAGTTTGGCTCAGTGGATAGAGCATCGGCCTGTGGACTGAAGGGTCCCGGGTTCGATTCCAGTCAAGGGCATGTACCTTGGTTGCGGGCACATCCCCAGTAGGAGGTGTGCAGGAGGCAGCTGATAGATGTTTCTCTCTCATTGATGTTTCTAACTCTCTATCCCTCTGCCTTTCTCTCTGTAAAAAATCAATAAAATATATATTTTTTAAAAAGTAAGGAAACAAGTACTGCTCAGAGAAACACCTAGGGGTAGTGATTTTTATGGAAATTAACACATCTCTCTCTCTGAAAATCAGAAAGAAAATGTAAATGAAAAGTCATTTACTCTCTTTTCCTAAAGAAAGGATCCAGATACCTTATATCCATCCCGTATACATAAAGCCACACTGTACTACATTACCCTGTTTTTATAAGGCTCCAGCACTTCCTTAGCTTCATCACAAAGGGGACATGGATCCTACAGGAAGGAAAAATTAAGCCATGAGACCCAAGAATGGCAGCAACCTGACAAAAATCACAGAAGCAGATTATACGTATTTTAACAGGTTGTTTTCTACATGTTCATTTCCAAAATAAAAGACTGTCATAGAATCTTATAAATAGCTAATATTTCATAGTAAATGGGCTTTCAGCATTTTTCAGATGTTTTATTTTGATTTGTCTCCATAAATCAATCAACCTACCTAATAAATTTAGATGTTTACATTTGTTACACATACATGTGTATATACAGATAACATATATGTACATAACAAATGTATCTATTTATTAGATATGTATTACAGGTAGATATATAGATACATATGTACATTTACACATACACAATGCATTTAGATGCTTACATTTTTTTGTCACTGGCTTCATCTGATTGATAGCTGGGAAAATTATTTTTCACTGATTTATACTCCAAGGAGAACCTTCCTGGCCTGGCTGACATCACCAGAGTGGCTAAAAGTCTATCTTGAATGGGGGACACTGAGCTTTGACAGCCTGTTTCTCCTAATCCACAGGAATAAACCCACTAGGATAGAGTTAGATAATGAGTGTCCCATCTTTAAAAAGGGAAAAATATTTCAGATGATGAATGTACCAACTGTTTAATGTCTTGTCTCTTCCTCATTATAAGTGTCAGCAATAGGTTTTCCAGATAATTCTCCACCTGAGAAACAAGCACATTTTAGTGCCTGTTGTTGTTTGTACTCTAACCACATAGTAGAGGAGTCTGTTGAGAATGCTATGGATTGTTGGCAGATTTTAAAGGCTTCTCACAACTAGACTTTATGAATAGGAACTAGCTATAGGTTCTCTTGCAATGAGCTAAGAATATACTCAACATTATTGGTGCTTATATAAAACTAGATGCCTGGTGCACGAAATTCGTGCACAGGTAGGGTCCCTAGGCCTGGCCAGTGATCAGGGCCAATCTGTGGGGTGACTGGTGGGGAATCGGGGGGCCCCTATTGGCACCTGCCTTGGCTGGCCTGGCACCACCCACTCACTGGCCTCGCTCTCCACCGCTGGTTGCCTCCCTCTGCGGTGGGGTGATCAGGGGGACCCCACTGGCACCTGCCTTGGCTGGCCTGGGGTTTGTGGGCTGGGGGCAGCTCCTGCATTGAGCGTCTGCCCCCTGGTGGTCAGTACATGTCATAGCGACCGGTTGTTCCACCGGTTCTGTCGTTCGGTCAACTTGCATATTAGGCTTTTATTATATAGGACTAGAGGCCTGGTGCATGAATTCATGCACGAATTCATGCATGGGTGGGGTTTGGCTGGCCAGCCCCAATTGGGGCCAATCAGGCTGGGCTGGCCTGGGGGAGGGGCTGTGGGCAGTTGGTGGGCCGGCCCCGCCCCATGTCAGGGTGGGGGGCAATTGGGGGTGGGGCCAGCCAGGGGGAGACCTGTGGGTGGTTTGCCAGCCAGCTCCACCCCTGATCAGGGTGGAAGGGGTGATGAGGGGTTGCATATTAGCCTTTTATTATATAGGATCTGCTTTTTAACATGACAGGAGGAGATAAGCTCTTATGTAAAAGAAAGGCCCTTCCTCCAGCTTAACTCACAGCTTTTTTTAAAACTAAGATTTAATGTACATTTATTCCTAACACATGAAACATATAAAGATTTCATACTGAATAAATTATATTCATTAAGCAAAAAAGGAGGAATTTATATCAAGTTTTAGCTAGATTGTTTGACATACAAATATACAAATTTTTATCACTGAAAAAAATTTCAATTGTGGTTCTTCACCAGGAACTTCAACTGAATGTAGAACTTTTCACACCTGCATTAGAAAGAAAACAAAAACCAGAAAAAAAACAACCACCTATAAGTTGATTGGCTGCTGAGACAGCAAGGACTTTTTACAGAAACCTGTATAAATTCCACCAAGAGGTGTGATATCTGGCAAGAGATTAAATAGCTGGGTCTCACTTTGTGTAGGACATCACTTGTTAACTCATCATACTATAAAGGGGAAGCTGGGAGGGTGACCGAACTGTGGGGATCTGAGGGTATGTGCAATGAGTACAACATCATGTATATGCACACATGTCCAAGAGTATGTGCAATGTACATACCATATATATATGCGGCAGCACAGTTGCTGCAGCTAAAGGTTAAAACCAGTTCTAAGAGGTGCTCTTAGGGTTGGTTATTCATACAATGAAGGAGAGAAAGAGGTCAAGGTGTTGTAGGTTCACACATGATACTCTGGGGAAAAGCTGCCCCCCTTTTTTTCTCCTTTATATTTAACTAAAAACATCTTAAAAAGCTTGCTGCTAACCCATGATTTTTCTTGTGTCCATATGAGACATTGTTATTATAGTATGTTTACAGTATCAGGTGCACAGTTCAGTACACAAGGGGGTTTACACTCTTCTGCACAGGCCTCACCAGTGAATAGGGTCTGTCCACACCTGTGAGCTTCTCAGTTCCTGCAAGACTGTGAATGTACAACAATAAATCACACACACTTCGGCAGCCACATGTTTTTGTCCTTCAAGGTGTGTTATTCTCTCCTTGTTTTTTTACAACCATTAAAGTTATGAAATGTGGTAGTCTATTGATGCAAGGACTATGAAAGTTATTTTATCTTATATTACCCCAAACTCACTGTAAATGACAGTAACTTTACTTAAAATAAAAAGTCTTCTTTGTAGGCAGAGCTTTGTCTTTTCAAATAGGGTGCAGTCCTGAGATTGACAGCTTATTTCAAAATAAGGACCCACATCATCAAAAGTCAGTTTTCCTTCAGAAGGATCTTTCTGGCCCTAATTTCCTGGTTCAGAGAATTAGGCTCATGCCGTTACTATGAGCATCATCAATAAACAGATTACGAATGGTCTGTGATGTGTTGAAATAATCATGTTGACATTTTTCTGAGAAAGTTTCAAAAAGTCAATAGAAGTTCTTAAAGGAAAAACAAGTACAAGCTAAGTAGCAGAAATACCATATTACTGACATTTTGCTTTTATAATAAAACACTTTAATAGAGCCTAGATCAGGGTTTTTCTTGTTTTGTTTTTAAAAGCTAGTATCCATAGAAGTTTGTGCAAATTACCGTGTGTGTGTGTGTGTGTGTGTGTGTGTGTTTATGAGAAAAGGTCCATCAAATTTTGAAGAAGTCTATGAACTGAAAAAGGGTAAGACTCAGTGGTCTGGACCATTCAAACATCCTTGTCTACGATTTTCTATGGCACCAATAGAGCACTTACTTACTCTAGCCCTGAAATGTAACAAACACTTGTTGGGTTGGTTGTCCACCACTCATACCCCTTGCAGCAAGAATGCTGTAACTTTGCCTCACAGGAACTGCTCTCAGCATGTGGTGGACTCCATTCCTGAGAAACAAGGCAATCAGCAAACACATCCTATCCCTTTGGCTAAAATGGAATGGCTCAGGGATTGGGCAGATCAGAGCCAATAGATAGCTATGAGGCTTTTGCTGGAGTTTCTCATACCCAAGCTGTGAATTCTGGGGCTTGGCATCACTGCAGTCATTCATGAGAAGAGGCAGAGTCAAGACAGATTTAACCCAGAGGATGTGAACTGAAGAGATTGGCAATTGCTTAGTTTCAGAATGAAGCTACCCAGATCAAGCCATAAAATCCCTTTTTGTTTAAGCCACTCTGGGACGTACTTTTTATTATTTGTAATTGAAAGAGAGCTAATACTGTGCTTTTTCTTCGGATTGTGAACTCCTGAAGGTGAGAGTGATATTATATGCCTAATGACACATATAAAGAGTTCAGTACAAAATTTAAGCTGAATGGAAGATTAGTGTGTGTGTTTTTGCAAATGTTTTCAGCTAACTTGGCTGTTGCTCAAACTGAAAAATAGTGCAGAATTGTTAGGCTGAATGAGCACCATTTGCTTTAGGGATTATTTTATTTTTGTGGTTAATTCTCACATGCATTTCTCATATATAGACACAGATGATGAAATAGTTTTGTTCTATAACTTCCAACAGTGTGGTATATACTCATGGACATGAAAAGTAGTTTAGAGTAACTATTCTCAATGAGATATTAATTTTTAAAAGTTTTTAAAGCTTTCCTGTTAGATAACCATCAGATATTTTTAAATTGTTAAAATGCCCGAATTATGAAAAATCTATTAAACACAATGCTTTTTTTCGTTTGAATTGCAGTATTATTCACTAAAGTTAATTCTATTACCCTGCACTTTATTTCTTTTTTTGATTATAAATCACACAAAGTAATGTTAACTAGCAAAAGAAAATCAGCAATGCTTATATTATAAATATCAGGGGGAAAAGCTCTTAAAAATTTAAACTACTTTTATACTTTAAGATTAGTGTGTGTGTATTTTAAACTACTTTTATACCTTAAAAGTGGTGTCAGGGATATGAAAACACAGTCAATCCTCATTATTTGTGGATTCTGTTTGTAAGTTCACTTATTCACTAAAACTTATTTGTAACCCCAAGATCAAAAACTCATGGGCCTTTTGTAATCATTCACAGACATGCATGTGTACAGAACAGAGCACATTTTGAGTTACATTCCAGCTGAGATTGAACAAGATGATGCTCTGCCTCCTTGTTTCAGCTCATATATGTAAACAAGCATCCTTCTCGTGATTTGTTTAGTGCCATTTATTTTTTTTATTTTTTGTGCTTCCTGTTAATAGTGTTGAGGTGCTGTCTAATGCTTCTAAGCACAAGAAGGCTTTCATGTGCCTTATGGAGAAAATATTGTGTTTGATAAGCTTTGTTCAGGCATGAATTATAGTGCTGTTGGCTGTGAGTTCAATATTAATGAATCAACAACATGTATTAAACAAGGTGTCTTTAAACAGAACAAGGTTATGTACTGACTGGTTGACAAAAATGTTATCAGAAGCTCATAGGAATCTAACCGTGTATTTTCCCTAGGAGCAAAGGTCCAGCATTTGCTAATTCAGTGTTTTTGGTGACTTTATAGAACATAACTATCACAAATAATAAGAACTATGTTTCCAAGTGATACATTTATAAACATCATATTATAATCTGATAGTTTTTCCTTTCAATGTAGGGTTCTCAGATGACTACTAAATATATTAATTTAACCTCTAATTGTGAGACAATGAGGTATCTGGGGGAGGAAATAGAGTTACTACTGCTGATACTGAAACTGAAAAACTGAGGAACAGGTCCGAAGAATGTTTATTCCTTTACTTTCAACGTCTTTCTTCCTTATTTTCTTCACCCAATGATTTGAATACTTTATGTTTTTAAAGCAGTAATTTTATTTTTCACTCTACCTTTGTGAATAAGGTCAGCACAGGCAGAATAGTCCTAGAGGCAGAGAGATTTCTCAGGAAGAGTCTAAAGGAGTACTTGGCAAATTGTATGCTATTTCCTTGAAACCAGAGCATCTTGCTTCTGCCAAAAGAAAAACAAAACAATAAACATAGGTGCTCTACACTTTGCTCTTTATAATATGAACAGTAAGCTGCAAGCCTGTGAAGGAATTTGAAGATTTCAGAATTGCTTTTTGAAGTCCAGGAGTGTCAGATGTTTGGCAAATCTCCACCATGCCTGCACACTCACTGTATTCCAAACAAAACCAAATTTAGAATGGGGGAAAAATCCATACTTATGGATTAGCTGTGTAGCTATCACTTAGTTTCTGTAAGCAAACTGCATGGGTTCATTTGAATACAAAATTAAATCTTACCTGCAGATTTTGCCAGCATCCTGATGATCCCCTAAAATGTGGACTTTCCTGAGATGAATTTTATTCTCTGAGATAGCTTATCTTATTAGCAAGCATTCAACAACACCCCGCCATAAGTAAGCAGCACAAGTCCGCAGCTGAAGGTCATGAGATTTATGCCCCTCTGCGGGGATGGGAAACACAGTTGTACAGAGGAACTATAGGGGAGAATTAGATCGAGTTAACTTGTCAGAAACAAAAATTTACTCTCAACTTCTCAAGAAGTACTTTAAAAGAAGATTGCCATCATTTTTGAAAACATACAAATATGCTAGTGTTTCTACTGGAAATATTCCAGGAAGAGCAGTTTGATAATAACTTCATGTCAAACACTAGGCTGTGAAGCTCCCTCATGCTGCTACTTTGTTTGACATAAGACACCCTACTTATTCCTACCTATCCTCCATATTTGTCCTTAAAACTACAAATAGGATCATTTCACTTTGAACTGTTGAGTTTATCATTTACCAATATCCCCAAGATGAATTCATTCTTGGAATATTCATAACTTTGCTTTACTCCGATCTCTTCAACTTCATCTATCACCTTCCCCTCCTTTATCTTGGCAAGTTGCAGACACAAAGATTCTCTTTCTGTTCCTTGAATGACCAAAGATAATTCCTTCATCAGGATCTCTGCACTTGCTGTCCCTTTATATGAAAAGCCCTGAAGTAGCTTCTCCTCACTTGGTCTGGGCTCATGCCACCTCCTTAGAGATGCCTTAGTGACTTTCTTACAATTATTATTGATCAGCCCACTACCCTCTTTCTTCATACTTGCTATAGTTTTTTTAATACTTTACTATCTAAAATTTTTTCTTTACATATTTGACCCTTATACATAATGTGAGTTCTATACGAGCAGGTACTGTTCACCCAGTATCCCCAAGCATCTACAATTAACCTGGCACATAGTAGGTGTTCATATATTTCTTTGAATGTTGAAAGTATTGAAGTGAGTCTTTCTCCCCCTCTTTAGTTTCACCTCTAACCCTGATCAGACATTCAGTGTGCACAGAGTCACTATTTGGGCAGATGTCATATCATAACTAAAGGTTAGTGCTCCACAGTGTCCATAAAATTGTGGGTGAGGGTGCTGCGGCTGATTCCATCCCCTTCACCACCACCTCAGATCTCCCCCTGCACTGCTCCACAGCAAAACCGTATTAATTACATGCTAATCCATACTGGTTACCAGGCTTCTCAGTATAAGATTAGCCTTAAACTCATTTCAGACAGAATGATAAGAGACTTTTAAGAAAAACACCAATCCATATCAAACTAGAATAAAGACCACAGGACAAAAAGATTTGATCCTAATCTGTGAAAACAACAAGCTTTCCTTCACTCTTAAACCCTTAGTCTTCTACTTCTCCCTAAATCTCCCTGCTTACTAAATAATCATTATGCATAAACGAAGAATGTGATGAGAATTTTGCTAGGATCTACTACCCAGCATTACTCTAAGGTGGAAAATATATCTAAATAATTTCATGATATGCTGTGCCACTCGAAACAAATGTAAAGCCCTGATATACACACTTTCCATAAATTCAGAAGAATCAACAACTCTAAAAGGTGAACGTAATTGGAGACAACAGCTGCTAAACATGGCTTTGTCTACCCAGGATATAAACGAGGGGGAAAGTTGAATGTTAGCCATGTTTATACTAGGTGGAAATGTCTGCATCATTGAGAAGGCCCAATGCCATCAGTATCACATCTTTGTAGGGTATGGAGTTAAGGAAGCTGTACCATATGGAGGATAAAGGAAATTAACAGTTTTGTTGGAATAAAGGCAGAAAGACAGCCCTTGGAAATAAGAAGAATCAGGCCATCTACGACTGTGATGTGAGACTACGACTAGGACATTGAGCTGCCTGACATGTTTTTGGTGGAGGGATTTAAGATTTATTGATGTCTGGCTGGTAAGGAAAGGAAAATGTATTGCTTTTACCTAGCTGAGTTGAGACTAAGGTGTTAAAGCTTGAAAAAACAATTCACATTCACAATGGAAATCTGCTTCAGTATTTCCAACATGACAAAACACAGCATGTGGTCTTGGTTGTGCCCAAGACAAATAAAGCCTATCATAGTAAACAAAGTTGCTATTCATTCCAGATTTGCTGGAATATTTGTTCAGCCAACCCAGAGTGCTAAGTAAAGTCTTCAGTGATGCTACTACTAGTCTGTTTAAAATGAGTTCTCTTTTGTACTGCTAATCTTCATTTCTACTTTCTGTATGTATTTAATCACTTAAACATTGCATATTTATTTACTGAGCAATACTTTAGCATTATGTAATTTTTACTATCTGCATATTTTCCAAATGTCCAAAAGCACATGCATTTTACCATATTGTTAAAATAATTTATTCCTTTATATGATAAAATTATATTAGAGCCTGCTATAAAGAAAAAGTTCCATATACCTCTCTTAGGCTGAAATAAGACATTCAGGCTAAAATTCTGAACACTGGAGTCCACTTAGTTCTAGAAATAAAAGGTAAGATGAAAAAATTACACACTCCAACTGGAACTTTATAATATTCTTCTTAGAATATTTTATTAACTTTGTAAACCTAACACCATTGCTGTCAAAGTCACATTCACCTAGTCATGCCTTCTTGAAGTAAAATCTTAATATGGGCTACTCTGTCAGTGTGACATTTTCATTAGTTCTATTATTTTTTAACAGTATCTCGGCACTATAAAAATATTCTGAAAGGCAGTCTCTGGCTGTTAGCTCATGACTGTGAGAGGACAACACCTTTTTGATTATGTCATTGAATTTAGTCATGAAGTATGTGTCCTTACTGCACAGAGACATAACTTTATCCTTTGTATTTTGTTACATGCCTCTGTGATACGAGCAAAAAGAGCTGTGTTCATAATATCAAAGAATCACAATTGGGTCACCTTTGTCGCATAAAAAAAAAGTAAGAGGCATAAGACTGGATTTAGAATGTGCCTAAAACAAATTGCACAGCCGAACAATAAAGATGGTGACTCCTGCTGTTTCAAGTCCACTGCTGCTCAGGGGCACATCACCCTGAAAGCGAAAGGGAATGCCGGCTTTTAACAAAACTGAGGCTGACTTCAGTGGTCTTTATAGCAGAATCAGGTACAACATGGGGGGAGGACTGATTGGACCAATTCAGCCCTCCTTGAAGTAAGATGAAGATAACTTAACTCTATAGCATTTTCCCTGTGAAGCACTGAAGGCATACCATTAAAGCAACTGATTAGGGTACAGAAAAAAGCCAGGGTCATTTGAGCCTCTATTAAGGATTATTCATTTCTTGCATGAGACGCCGACCAGACGATGGCTGCACATCACTTATATGGGACTCGTGGAGTCTTCAAACACTGTGTGTGTCTGATTAGAAGGGAAATAACATGGTTCTCGCTTGAGTAGAGAAACTGACCTTCACTGACCAGAATTTTTATTCATACAAAGAATCCTTTGGCACACCAAATCTCCAAGCTCACATAATCCCTCATCAGCAAACCGCAGTGTTAGTTCATGTGCAAAATCAAAAAGTCTATCTAAGCCCAAGTACCACCTTGGTTATTAGCAGGTAATGTTGGAGCTTCTTCACAAGAGTATAATGTAAATTTAATGCTGTACTGACATTAACCAAACACCATTACCGTGGCTCTCACTGAACCTGTTCCATAAAGAGAGGCACAGGGCTTCCATTTAGCCATTTGTGCCATGTGAGATGTTAAGTGCCCATTTCACATTCATTACCATCTAAGTATAACATTCCTATTTTATCCAGATGGCTAGAAACACACGCACATGCACACATGCGCGCGCACACACACGCGTGTGCACACACACACACGCGCACACACAAACTCCTGCTGGGAACAAAACCTATTACAGGCAGTCCTCGGGTTATGTCAGACTCAACGTGTCGTTTCGTGGTTACATCACAATCTCCCATTTACAGTATTTATAAAAAAAAGTTTTGTCATTTCAACGTATGTACATATGTGCTTTGTGCTTTTTATTATTTATCACAAGGAAAGGTCAGAAATTGTTATCTTTCTTTTAAATTTTTTTTACTGTTTCACTTTATTACTGCTGTGTATGTGCTCCATGTGAGTGACGTAGGTGCTTGTGTAGGGGGGTTCCGACTTACGGTGAAAATCAAGTTACGTTGCGCTGTAGGAACAGATCTCCAATGTAACCCAAGGACTGCCTGTATTTTAGACTAGAGGCCTGGTGCACAAAATTTGTGCATGGGTAGGGTCCCTAAGCCTGGCTGGCGATCAGGGCTGATCTGCAGGGTGACCGGTGGGGCGATTGGGGGGGTCCTCCCGCTGGCATCTGCCTTGGCTGGCGGCCTGGTACCACCTGCTCACTGGCCCTGCCCCCTGCTGACTGGTTGTTCCACAGGTCGTTCTGCTGTTCGGTCAATTTGCATGTTAGGATTTTATATAGATAGATCACTGAAAGTGTATGTAATGATGTGGGGTTGCGCTTAGGGACTCTGGGTCACTGGGTTCTACCTAATCCAGGGAAACAGGGACAAATGCTCCTATGTGCATTTTGGTCAGTCAGCTCTGTCCAAACATCCCTCTCCTCAAACAAGTGGCTGCCTACCCTGGGATCTTGGTTACAAGTTTGGAGCCAAGAGTGACAAGGAGAGGCAG